AAAAAAAAATAACGGACTTTTAAACTAGCTTTTTTTTTAACTTTTCCAACAGGAAAATAGTCTTTTTTCTTTGCCTCAGCTTGCTGACTACGTCAAAGCAATAAATAAATAATGCTTTTTTAAATTAAAATCAATCTGCTTATTTACTAAATTTTCTAAAGCAACTTTGCTGCAACTGACCCACCCGTTTCTGAACCGAGAGCACACAATAACTGCAGATTCTGGCTCTTGGACGGGTTTCAAAGCCAGTTTTTTCGGGAATTAAAGCAAAAACTTCATCTGCACCTGTTATGCCTTAGTCAGCTTAAGCGATTGCAGCACGAAATGTTGGAGGTGGGATGTCGAACTGAGTTATGAAATACATGTAATACTGGAACACTAACAAAGTGGCCGAAGAAAATGTTACCAACTATTTAAATATTTTTCAATTTACAATCTTCTTAGGAACCGGAACCTGGAAAAAAAAACTAATTCAAAATTCTCCGTGCATTCTTTTTTTTCAGAAATGCTACTGCTCTGTAAATTTTGCAGTGCATTAGTCGTTACTTCCATTTGTTTTTGCAGGTTAAATGCACTTCCTTAACTGTTGAGTTTGAGCACATCTGTAACGCACGAAAATGGAGAGCGGTTACAGGGCTGCACAGTAACAATTTGAGGATATATTTTTCTAAAATGCAGCTTTTCGAAACAAATCTTGAAGGGATGAAAAATACCGGATTACATTTATCTTTAGTTTTTAAAAGCAAGTGCCTTTTGTTTCACCATTGTAAAGTGCGTGCGTTCCGTAACGACAATGAAATATTATCAGTTTTGAACTGCTTTTTGGCCTACAACTTTCAATTTTGCTAATTGTGTACTGTCAGATTTTAGTCTTTCACCAAAAACTGAATTTCTCACAGTATGCTTTTTTCTAGAATTTTAAAACTGCCTGTCGTTAGCGTTTTATTTCTTTTAAACTTGTTCTGTTTGGTTGTTTTATGCAATCAGCGGAGGTTAATGCCTGCTCGCGTCTAGAAGGAACTAAAAATTTAGCAGATGAAAAACTTTGAAAATTTATTAGAGTTTACCTGAATTACAGGAAAGTAGGCAGGTCGAGCAAAAAAGCTGAGCAATTTTTACAATTTTTGTCAGTTGACTTAGGAAAAAATCCACCTTTTTAGGTTCTCTCGTTACTTTTTTGAATTCGGGCTCAAACTTTGCTATCTCGCTAAATTTAGAATAATTTTAATTTTACCAGTAAAAGAAGTTTATTAACCGACGGTTGAGGACTTACCTGAATAAGTCACAAACAGAGAAATAGTAATACATGAATGAAAACGTTAGTGATCGCAGTTGTCAGTGCAAGTATTGCAGGAAATATGAAAGACAGATTTAATTAGTAATTCGTAAATAATTAGTAGCTCGCCGTAAAAAACGCGCTAGTGAAAAAGTTAGATTGTTTTTAAATGCGAAAAAAAAAACAGTTTTTGTTAAGCATAGTCATCTTCAGCAACTTATAGTTCTGTTTGATCACAGTGTATTTTCGTAGTTTTTACTTCAGGTTAAAGAGCTACAAACATAATTTCTGCACAGATAATGACATTACAATATGGTTTTGTTTTTGGGGCATTAGAAGCTGCAAGGTGATTGTTCAAACTAAATTTGAAAAACCTTAGTTCACAAATCCGTAGGGGATAGAATTCCTATTTCATCTGGAATGTCATTAATTATAATATTTATAAAGCACTGAAAATTACTTCAGTTTTATTAGTTTAATGAGAAGAATTTGATGGCAAATTTTTTGCTTATATACAAGTCAAAAAAGTTTGTTGAAAAAAAAAAACCATAATAGCAATTACTTTTTCGCTTTTGCATTGGATTGCTTCTGTGCTAAACTCTTCTGACCTGAATGTTTCTCAATCAGTACCGGTTGTCGAATGCGAACGTTGTTGCGCTAGTATCCTGGCAACGTCCTCTGATTTTCTGCGAATATCGTTTGCGATAATGCAATGGAATTTTCGTGCATCTGGGATTGGGAACCTCTATGACCAAACGTGTTGCCAAAAAAGCCTTATCTTTATATTTCTTTGTCTACTCCAAAACTACTAATATTGCTGTCATATAGCTTAGCAACTAGTTGTAAAGATTATTGGCAGTTAAAGTGTAGTCTGAAGGTATCTAAGATAGGAATTATTAGATAATGAGGATTATACAGAAATTATGCTTATGTTTCGCTGCATGAGCAAACACACGAATTGATGAGATAAAGCCGTTTTTTATTAGCATTCTTGTCATCCTTTTCTTCTGTACTTACCGCGAAACCAGTCACTTACTTAATTTCTTTAAAAGCTTTTCTACATTTGAATTCGCTGTACTCAAACTGTCTGCTTTCGCAGAGTCTCTAAGAAGACTTCCATTTACAAAATGAAAAAATCAAAAACCCTCTTGCTCTGCAACGCAGACTGCTAGATAAACAGTAGCAAAAATATATTCGCAGTCAAGAACCAGCATTGAGTGCGAAATATCTGGATTGGAGAAGCTTAATAAAGATGCAAAGCAGTACATATTAAAAAAGTAGAAACTTTATGACAATTTTTTTTCAAAAAACTTATTTAAAATTACTAAAAAGCATAAAAAATTGAGTCAGTAATGTATTAGTAAACTAGCAGAACTTAGAGCAGAGATATTTTTTAATATATTGTATTCATTAATATAAAAAATGGCATTTCAGTTGGAACAGGAATTTTGTCATTCATGATGGTACCAAAAAACTGAGTAGACTAACTTGCGGTTTAATCTTACTAATCGCTTTATAATATCATAAGGATGTGATATCATCTTGTATATTTAATAATTTATACAAAAAATACGTTTAAAAAACATTTCTTCTTAAAAATTTAAGGTATTGTTTTCTCGGAAACCACGCTTTAACTTATAGCTTTTATCTTAATTTCGTATAAGATTTGTTAATATATCTATTCCACCACTGAGCACAAAAGATTTATTTTGGACGGACAGAACCACGAGTTTCTGCACACAACTGCATATAACAGAAGCTGTCTCTTTCTTCGCGCTTAGAAACGGTCTAACTTTGCCGCCAGTGTGCTTTTTGAAGTGAACTCTTTTAATTTTGCAATCGAGTATTAATTTCACTAGTTGGCAAAGAATGGAAGAAATTTGAACGTTTCAAATAATTAGGCCTTCTCTTGTAATTGCTTTTGTGTTAGCCGGTAAACTCATGCGATCATGCGAGTGACTGTAATGCTGTGAAGAGTCGATTATCGAATTTTGAAACCTGGAACTAGCAAAGTGCTTTAAGCCAGAGAATTTTATGCAGCAGTCTACACATTACGCAGGAGTTTCTTGTCAACGGATTTCCTGACACTGGTAAAGAAAGATTGAGGGAAAAGTTCAAGAAAGCAGTCTTTTATAAAAGCTTCGTTTACACTCTTTCTCCTTCCTTCATTTATCGTTGTTCATCCTTGTTATTGCTATTCTTTTTTTCTTGGGTGTGCTTTTATTGAACATCACTTAAGGCAGCCAACGTAGAAGAGTTTCAGATAACCTTTTTGCGTCTTTCATTTATAGAAACAACAAACGTCACAAAAATTTTTTTCAGCTTCATAGTTTTTTTAAAACACCTTAATGAGGGCATTGTTATCACCTTTTTTT